TGTTAAACTTAAAATGTGCACCATACTGATAATTGGATATCCAATGCAAGGATTCAAACTAGTAAATATGTTTTACTATTAAGAGCGTAGTTGTTTTATGGAAATCTACCAAACAACTTGAGATTTGAAAGATTAAATTAGAGCTTTCAATAAAGTTAGAAGGAAGCATGACGGCTTCAAAGTTTTTTTCTAATTGGCGACAATTTGTGCCTATATTATCGTTTGATCGAAATAGCTAGCTAGAAATGAAATGATGCAGAATGTCTTGTCTATAATGGTGTCTTAACTTATACGTCATAAATATAATGTCATTAACCAATTGCTTTCAAATACAATACTAATTGTTATATTGAAGAATACCCTATTGGATCCGTTTACAAATGGGTTATCTAAAGAGTGAATAAGGAAAATGGGTGTAAATCCTAAACTATTGGGCCAGATTAATGGAAACCTAACCTAATGGCTGAAGATACCCACAGACGAAGTTTAATAGGAAACTAGTTATAATTGACTCGATGAGAAGCACTTCAAAGTTTTAACTCCTCCCATTTTCTAAGATGCAAGTAAGTGCAACCTACCAAATATTAGTTATGATAAGCTATACTTTTAATTATGAATATATCTTGCAAATAGAAAAGTGGAGTATTGTAGGGTACTCTTTATAAAACATCACCTATATGAGTGTGAAGTTGGCCGATTCTATGATAATTTTATTGAGGCAAATTCTCTAGCGTACTTGCCGAACAAAGAAGGTTCAGGCCGAAATAATAAATGCAATAGAGAAACAAAATTTGATATGAGAGATAATGTCTTTGATTTATCGTCTTGGCTTACTATAATGGTCGACAGTTCAAAATGTTGTATTCACATATTAACCAAATGAGTCCGATAGATTCTTATGAAGGAATGTTCAAAGAAAAAGCTACCAATCCTCATAGATTACTTTCTTTGTGATATCTATTTTGAGTTGACTTCTTCCGTTCATGCGAGAGATTGTTTGAATTAATAGTTCAACATACACTATTTAAATGTGGGAATTGGAAAAGTCTCCAATGGGTGTGATCCTTTAAATAAGGTGCAATCTACACCATTAAATTTGAAATGGTGTGCCATAATGGATAAATTAATTAGTTCCAAAAGACATGAAAATCTATAAGTATGACCCTTTTAATCCCATTTTCTTGACTTGAAATCAATTACATTTCATTGATTTCCAATTCTTTCATTCTCCAAATTATGTCAAAATAATGTCCGAATTATTTTTTAGTTAATGTTCGATATTTAATATTCAATATCTTCTGCTCTAGAAGAATACATTCAAGAGTTGGTTTTGCCTGACAAAATTAATATTGTGCTATATTAATTTTGGGAGATGCATTATATTTTCAGAAACAGACGTCTATGTAATTCTATTAGCACCGGTGCAAAGATTTGCATTTGCATATCTTACTTCATTTTATCTTCTTCTAATTTCTACGTTTCAGTAAGTCGATATTTAGTACGCCTATCTTCATTTCGGTAAGTCAATATTTTATTCTATATTTTGCATGTGTAAGACACTAGTTTGCATATTTTTCATGCACTTATTTTTTGTTAATGAAATATAATTCATATACTA